AACAAACCCTAAGTCCCTCAGTGTTGCAGTAAGGTCAAAACCTTTCAGCATTGTACCAGTATGTCAAAATATGTCAACAAACCATCACACTGCAAGAAGAAGAATGACCTTTCAGTTCTTTATGTTTGGGCTGCCAATGAAGCTTTGGATACTGGGTATGCATGAACAGTTTTCCTAGCCACTTGACAAATGCAACTCCCAAGGTTTCATCCAAGTCAAGTTGTTATACCACTGGCTTTCAATTCACCAGTACAACTTTTTAAACCATTTGCAATTGGAGAATATTGATCTTGTTATAGAACAGACATCCATAAACACAAAGCATAAGCCCCTCTTCCACTACCACCTACAATCAGGAAACAATTATTACTTAAACAGTCTGCACAGTACCATGTCAAACCATTTTAAACAGCTGAACAGGAGAAAAAGATACCGTTCTGATTCAGTCTTTGCTTGCATATGATTCATCCTCACAGTCAGCTTCAAATGAGTGTGAACAGAACACTCTTCTCAAAAAACCCAAGAACACATTGGTTGTGTTTGTGACTGAAATACAATCTGTTACATTTTTTCTATTTGCATTTATTTGAAACACCTTTTTAATCTACAGGACTCTATGGTAATTTTACTACGACAGTTACAAACTGAAGTCTCAAGATAAGACATAATGTATTAATTAACAACACATTTAATCATGAATGCAGGCTTCCAAAAAGTGTTGTTACTATTTTAAAATTACTTATGATAAACTTGCTTTTACTTATTCTTTCAAAAAAGCATTTAGAATACAAGAAAATGGGGGAAGGAATTTAGTGCAGGGATGACTTACCATTCTTATTCAAAGAGAAGATGAAATGCTTCTCTTTCGCTATGTGACATTATTTTTAGTTTAATATCAATGTCAAATATGACATTCTCCTACGGTCTTCCTCACATACAGTAAAGTTTCTTTAGCTAATAACAGCGTCAAGCTTTCTCCTGGGACTCTAGAAATTACATTCCAGAATGTACATATGCCTTTGCCAGGCTTGTAGGAGACAGAAAATGTAAATTGCTGTATTTGAGTTTATATCTTCTTACAGCAAGTCACTGACAGTGCACCCACTAATTACTGTTTGAACAGTGTGTTATGATCTCTATATGTTTCTCAGAAAACAGCAGTAATGCCTATGAGCTCTGACTAACAGACTTTTACAATCAGGACTCCAATTTTTAATCAAAGTTAGAAAAAATTATAAAATTAGATACTATGGAGGAAAAAAACCCCAACAAACAAAAACCCAAAGACCAGCATTTGTGTCAACTCTAAAATAATTTACAACATATTCTCAGACCCTGTTTCAAAGCTCAATCTGTGTTACTTCCTGTTCATGCTCTACAAATTTGGTCACACAGACTATTCAACAGTTTTTATCCTCATGGTTACAAGAAATACACCAATGTAGGTCAGAGAACAATGAAAAGTGTGGTATGTACTACACATGCAGAAAGCAATTATATTTTGCACATGCAGTTGTCTTGTTACCAGTGGCAGTGAATTCTATAGCCTGCCCAGTAGATGTTACCACTTTGGAGGAACAAGCATATTGCGGGAAGGGATGCTCTAAATACATGAATCATTTTATACTAAGTTTGTTCAGTATATAAAATAGATTTTTACTAAAAAATCACTCTGCAAAATCAGTCTGGGAATGTGTAAGACCAAACTTGCCTTTTCCTGTTTCTTTATTATTGAAAATTCTCAATATCTAAACAGCATCTTAAATTACAACTGTGCAAACCCACTGACAAGGTACACTTTGTACATTTTTAATGTGAAGCTTAATTTGAAGATGAGGTTGCAGTGCAGCACTGCAACTGAAAATTGCTTAACAATACCATTGATGTATGAGCCATAAAAAACCTTGCTAAGCTGTCCCTGCAGAACTCGGAGTAATAAAAAGGTGTTCTTTTGCACTGAGGTGAACAGACATGGTTGACTGCATCTAGGGAGCTGTTCTGTTAAATGAGAAAGTGCCATTTCTTTCCTGTCAGTTCAGACCAATTTAAGACACTCACAGATTTAGTTAGCACAGAGTACAGGATTTAATGAAATACGCACATAACAGCAAACAAGCCACAGCTATGTTCAAAGCCTTCAGTCAGATTGTGTGCAGAATTAAACTTACATCTGTGACAGATGTGGGAATAAAACCTAGAAACTTTTCCAGTCTCACTCCTACTTTTCAGAGAAACAAACATAAAAAAGGCTGCATGGAGAAGCTCTAAAGCCTCTCACCTTCACTGCTTTCAAAGTATCCAGACATGTATTTCTATTCACATCTAACAGATGATATTACAGGTTTTCTCTCAATTTCAATTCAGCTTTGACTTCACCCGACAGATCAGGTTTACAAAACCCCAAACTATAGGCCGAAGGTCATGATATCTCTATTGTGAACTTCCTCTCCAAATGATTCCTCCTTCAAGAGGCAAAGACACGCAGGTGTGGTGAATTGACTGGAAGGTTGGTTCTCACTTGAGAGGTCCTTCCAAAGGCTGATTAAATCATACAAAATTGATTCACAGTTTGTGCAGCTACACCTCTGTCTTTTTGTATCAATAGTTTCAGAGAGCAATGAAAGTTAACTGTCTAACCTGCATACAACCTAATCAATCAACAAGTGTTCATTAACCCAACTGTCATTATATTAGAATAAGCTCCGGTAACTCAGAACTCATTTCAGAAGAAGTTATGATGCTGTTAGTTTGGCCAAGCAGTACCAAAATTAAAACTAACAGGATTTGTTCTTTAAAAAAACCCCATAGAAATCTGTCCAGATTTCATACTTAACCTATCACCACATTCTGGATTTAGGGAGTAACAAATCTCACTAAGTAGATTTCTGGTTTCCTTCATATGAATGTAAAGTCACTATACTTAACAATCAACAATTTTTGTACTTGTTTGCAATATTAACAGCTATAATAGAAGATTTGGCAAAATCTCAAAATTAATTCCAAAACAGTCTTATTGATCCATATATCAATTCAGTCTAGCTTTTCCACCATTAAAGGTACCTGACTAACAGCTCAGTGCGAGATGTTATTCCAGTTTTGAAGTTGCAATATTAATTAGTACATGATAAATTAAAATGAAGTCACCTATGTCTTGGTTTCCTGAAAAAAGTGTAAGAGAAGTTTCTTTTAGAAATGTCAGATTTAAACTGTACATACTATTCTCAAATGTTTTACACATTTTATAGCTCAAACCAAAATGTGGACATTAATTTTGTTCCATATAAAAGAAGACACAAACTACAACTTCAACTTTGAAATGGCAATTTTACCGTAAGCAACAAATGGATCAGTGACTTCATCCTACTCGTCTACTCAACTTTCACCCCATCTCAACTTAGCAAGTTTCTTTATGCTCAGGTTTAAAATTGTTTATATTTAAAATTCATATGTAAAATTCATATTTAAAATTCACTTCTTGGAACTCCTTTTATCTGATACCATCATGGATCCCTTCAAACACACAGCTTCTCAGAAAATATTCCAGCCAGTATATCTAATGGCCTCCTCACAGCCTGAGCTGCTCCATCTCCTCTTACTCACAAACATGTGCAAGTTCAGCACTGTTTACATCAGAGTTTTTTCCTCCCATTCTCACCATTTGCCTAGATATTGTATATACTGAAATTTCTTTCTATGTCTTGAACTCTGGTTATACATTTCACAAATTCTTTTCTACAACCTTCCTGTAGTATAGTATCTTTATCCTGCAATTGAAAGTCTACCTAACGTTCCCATTGCCTCAATTCAAGTTTTCCAAGTCACTGTTTTCTGGGATTGTCAAATAAATGAAGGTCCTTCTTGTGTCAATCAAGAATGTTGCTGCAGAGCATAATTCTGAACTCAGATGATGTTATTCTCCAGATCTGGTTTCCCTTTCTTTGCTGCCTCCTATACAATCTGCTTTTAAGGTATTTTCCAAGCTCTGGCTAGCTATTTTCAGCTTGACATTTCTCATATTCAGCTGAAAATCTAACAGTTACCAAACTAGACTGATGTTGGCACACACTTTCTATTTGTTGCATGTGCACACGTCTGTGCCATCTTCTTTACTATCCCACAGATTTCATTGATGCTCTCTTTTGAACACTGGTCAGACTTATGAATTTATGCTTTCAAAAATCCTTTATTAAAACTGTTATTTACCACAGTTACTCCCTTGCTTAGGGTTATACCACATACAAAAATGGAACTGAAGATGAAGCATCTTGGTTAGGATTTTTTTTGGAAGAAAAATCCTCCAGTGAGGAAGCTTCTAGTACCATGGAAAGGTATACAAATATATGCAATAGCGACCTTTATAAGAATAAAGCAGAACTATTTTAACCATCTTTCAATGAAAAGAACTTTATCCCAATAACATCAAAATGTTTAAAGATAGTCCAGCATAACTTATTTCCCTCCTGATGTTCATGCAGATATCTACTACAGTTATCTATTAGCTTGAAGATAACTGTTAATACTGCTTAAAATGTACATAACATTAAAAAAAAACTTTATTAAAAAGAAAAACAGTGAAATAATATTATCCTAGACACAATTACAATAAGCAATAAAGCTCTTTACACACAAAGCTCATGTGGTTAGACTGTGAAAATTCTTTAACAAAATTGGCAGCTTGTAGGTATTACAAAATGTTACAGCAAAATGTTCCTTTGAAGTCAGGTACTAAAAAAATTGATATATAACTTCCATACCGAAGTAACTGTCATCTAGCACCACTGTAAAATCACCATATATCTGCTGCATAACAATTATGATGTGAATTTTTCACAAATATTTCAGCATTCCAATTTGACATACTAATTAATGACATTCAAAATGCCAGATTAGTAACGTGTTTTGTTCATATGGCTTAACACAAAAGTCGCTAGTATTTTTCCAATAACTTCTTTTAAAAAAGCAGTTCTATTTATCTATAAGGAAAAGTAACAGAAAAGTACCTGTTCCAGTAGCTCCAAAACTGGTCCTGCAAGTAGGCTTGATGGCTACTTTCATCACCAAATGAGGCTTTACTTTCAATCCAGTGGATGATGTGTCCTTCAACAGCTAGGGTGTCAGCAGAAAATAAAGTGAATTCTGAAAAATCAAACTCAACAGCCTCTAAGAATATGTTTGGGAATATGCTACTGATCCCCCAATCTACCATATAATTCATGCTTGCAACAGAGTTACATATTTGCAAAATTATCTTTCAGATTTGCACATAGGACTTTTTTTTTCAAAAACATACCACAAAATATTTTAATGGATAATTATATCTATTTCAGTTTAATTACATGCTGTTCTAGATATTTGCATTTATTCTAACACAGAATGTAAAGGAAAAGAGACTAGACTAAGGTGCAACTGCATCTTACTTTGCTGGAAAGGAGTTGTCAGGTAAGGAACGAAAAAATTCTGGTGAACAAGAAGTTGAACTTCAGTGAACAAGCTGAGCTGCTAAAAACATAAGCTTTTCACCATTCCAGAGTGGAAGGTGTGAGAATGGCAAGAATGTTTATCATACATATATATATGCTTCTTTACTTGTGCAAAACCACTAATGCTTCACCAGAAAGAAATTAGGAATAAGAAGCCTTACGTACAAAATGTGATTTTGAATTTCTGTTTCTTTCTATTCTGTGGGATTTGCTGTGGTTCATATCTTTCCTCATTTCTTGCAGGAGTAAATTTCTAATACTAATAAAATTATATACATATATATATTTTGTACAAGGCAAGTCTTCTCTGAAGTTGACAAACTAATTTTGCAGGAGAAATCATGAGAATCCCTCTAAAAGATCTTTCTTTCTCCAAAACCGTATGTGGGGTGTCATTATTGAGGTCTTTAAAAATAGTTCTTTTATTTTGAATTCCCTATGATATCCACAGCCATGAGGTCTTAGCCTAAATTTGACCTGGGATGAGGTACTCAAAGAGCATGTAGACCCAGAAGCATAACATAGAAAGATCAGAAGAGGCTATGGCAGCACATGACTGACCACAGACTGTAAAACTGCTCAGGAAACCTGGGTAAATAACTCAAAAAGTCACCACACTAAGCTCTATACGCCACCACTACCCTGGTCTCAGTAACCAAGTTAACTTGTGTGGGCCTATACTATTACATCCTCCCCCCACTCCCAAAACCTTTAGACCCCAGGAGATATAATGACTGAGGCATGAACTACATAATCAGTTGAGAAACAATTTCTACGGAACAACTGCCCTTCCTAGTCATGTACTGAGTCATGAAGAAGAGAGTGCTAGGCCTGCCATACATCAGTTGACGTTGAACAACAGGTATAAAATTATTTCCTGCCAATCTCAAGTGACTGAAATAATTTGAAGAAAGTAATGCACTATCACTATTTGGATATTGAGAGACAAATCCATGCAAACAAATTAATGGCTATTTTAAACATTTTTTCTAACAGAGTAATATTACAAACCCAAGAATTCTTTTGAATGTTTCCCAGTTTCCCTTCTCAAGCATCAAAAAAATTAGGTCTACCTTGTTGCTTTTCTAGTTTCAATTTAATTAAGCGCTTGAATAGATGGGGTATGAACTTATCTGTTTCTAATGTAAAATTAAGTATCTTCACGCCAAGCATACTAGTATTATTAGTACCAAGTATGTATTTTGTATATTATAGTCCACACTGTTGGGGAATCCTATCAATGTATGTAACTATCTGAAGGCCAGGTGGTTAAGAAGAGGGAGCCTTTTCAATGGTGCCCAGTGACAGGACCAGAGGCAATGGGCACAAACTGAAACATGGGAGGGTGCATCTGAACATCAGGAAACACCTTTTTTTACTGTGAAGGTGACTAAGCACTTGCACAGGTTGCCCACAGAGGGTGTGGAATCTCCTTACTTGGAGATATTCAAAAAACTTCTGGACATATTCCTGGGCAACCAGCTCCAGCTGACCCTGCTTGACCACCGAGGTCCCTTCCAGCCTCAGTCATTCTGTGATTCTGTAATTTCAGAATCTTCCCTGCTAGCTTTAGACTTGATAAAAATCAACTCCTCCCTCATCCCCTCAAGTCCTTGGTAGCTTCTTGAGTCCTTCCACAAATAAGAGGCATGGAAGTGAAGAAGTAGAAATTAATCTCACTTCAAACATGGAGTGGTTCAGTTACAAAGGTATTTTTTATTTGGTAGCTATAACCTCTTAACAACATCACTACTATTTTTCTTTTTTTGAAAACATGATTAGGAATACAAACATCACTGAGCTAAGGAAAGTCTTTCAAAACTTTTCAGAAGACTCATATACATAGTTGTTTATTGTATAACAGCTTATGGTGCTGAAAGATGGTATCTTGAGCACTCCTGAGTAGTGAGACATTTTATAATACACACTCAATTCCTTATACCAGTAAAAATTTCAACTGTTGTCAATATGAAGACCAAAAAACTAGCCATGTATATGACTTTCACAGTCTTTTCAGGCTTCTTATTTCCTCTGACAGACACAACAGTAGGCATCTGCATAGACAGGTGCTGCATTTTAAGGAGGTGAAGCAGAAGTCTTTTGGTATGGAAGTCAGTTTACAAAGGGTGATTAATAAACCTTTACACTAGGACAACATGGATGCTTTTTCTTCCATGTCCCAGCCACTGGGTCATCTGATTATCTTCTCAAGACCAGAAAATGTAGATGAAATTTGACATGACCTTTACATCTACTTTTATTCCTTCTTGCTATGCAGGCTTTTAAGAAACAATAGAGAACTAGCGAGTTGCACTTAGATGCGAAGTGATGGCAAAAGAATAACAGCACAATGAAAAAACTTTTACACAATGATGTATAGGTGTAATGCTAATACTCTTAAGACTGCTTTGAACTGAAGCTTAAGACAATTACAGGTACTTCAGAGTTTAGTTTATAAAGAGTGGCAGAGCACGTTAGGAGGAGTAGGGATTTGGGAGTTCTTAATGTTGCTCATTTTTCTTTTTCTTTTTGTGATAATGAGACAAAAATATGCAGATACCAAAGAGGAAACAGTGGGTAATACTACTTATGTCAATCTAACCCAAACTAGAAGTTCTTAAAATTATTGGGTAACTACTGAAAAGAAGAGACTGATTTGTAGCATTCTATAATGTACTTCACTTAAGTAGCCACAATCTTTTAGCACACTTCTACACAAAATAAAATAAGAAAAATTCTTTTAAGAGACTTACCTACTGGCACTTCTAATATGAAGTCTGGTGTTTTGTCATAACCCTTTGCACGAAGCTGATCTTCAGCTAGACATGGAGAATAAGAACTATTGTTTATAAAACTATTCTATTAAGTAGACAGCAGTATAATTAATTTTATTTTAAATAAGAGTGCAAGAATTACTAATGCAGTCATACATATCTTTCTTATGCATGCAATGCTGTGTCAGATTAAATGAACCTTCATAGAAAACCTGAAGCATGGATATAAAAATGCTTCTTTGTCATCCCTGCATTTTTATGTCTTCATTATAAACACCATTAATTCAGGCTGTCATACAGTATTTTATAACCCTCAAATATTCAAAATAAAGAGGTATACTCACTGATTGAAAGAAGAGTCTCCCCACATCAGGGAGCTGTTAAGATTAATCCTACCAACACCACAAATGTAGATATACTGTAGCTGCCTTCTTGATTTTATTTTAATGTTAGCATAAAGTTGTTAAAAAAAGAACAAGAAAATCCTTCTCTTCCAGAAATTTATTAAAGAAGAGCCAGAAACCACAATTTTAGTTTCTCTTGCATCTTGCATTTATCCAAATTCAGACCATACAAAGATTTAGAAATTCTGTTAACATTACCTATACAACACTCTTGCTTAGAAATATTAGTGCTGAATATATCAAGAAACCATAAGGGGTAAGCAAGACAAAAGATGCTTTCTTAAAAAAAAACCCACAAAACAAGGAACAAAACACCAGGCCAAAGCAAGCCCTTAATATTTTCTAAACTATTGTCCTTGATTTCTGATACCATTACACTGGTATTTCTGAAACATCATTTCTCCATTAGAATTTGGAGTGACCTGGTCATTCAATTCCAGGCATGGCTTTCTGTCTTCACCCAAGCTCAACTAATGGCACTACCTAGTAACAAGTAAGGCAGTGTAGCCCCTTAACACCTACTGGGCTGTTGACATTGTCATGCATCCCATTCGCCTTTCTACATCACCTTTGATTAAAATTAATGGTCCATTCTCACTGTTGGGTAGCTTATTTCCAATCCATTTATCAGGTTAGGACAGTAGTTTCATGGCCAATGTTCAGAACTCAGTTTTAGAATACTTTGTGCATATCCTGAAAGGTCAGCAGTTTGAGTCCAAGTAACATTTTCACAAAAAGAAAAACATACACTCTTAGAAATAAAAATATTTTAAAAGTGCCTAAAGCAAACTTCTCTCCTCTTTCTTACTGAAGAATATAACTCTGAAGTATTTTTTTAATATAGCAAACTGAAAGTGGGACAGGAATAAACTGCAATAGCTATTTATTCTTTTTGATAGCTGTAGTATTTTTTTTTTTAATTTGAGAGTATATTTTCACTGTAAGCACACTATATTGTAAATACAAGTCTTTGCAATGCAATACTTCTTTATATCACTCAATCAGCTATTAAACTTCTAGGTTTTGGAGACAGTCTTGGTTGTTGACTATTTTTTTAAAGATTGGATAAAAGACGTTTACATTACCAACGTTCTAATTTAGCAGAGCCTATGAACAGACAGTTTTATGCCATAATTTAAAAATGAATTAATGTTCTAAGTAATGTCATAATTTTGGAAAAAAAAAATCTAGTTTTGTCCAACTCTGTTTAACTGTAACCTGCTCTTAATTGTTTAAAACAGTCCAGACAAGACAAAAGCTGAAATTTTCACTATTTAAGAATACACAGATGGCAATAAGAAAGTTCAGTCTTTTCTATCACATCTACCATATCTAACAAATGATAGTATTACAAATTCAGGAACAGTACCTCAACAAAACCCCACTGAAAATCAGGACAGATGTAAAAGCATTTCCTGATGGGTCAGCTTGGCAGGACTCTGAACTGATGTTTGCATCAGGATTATTTTTAATACTTCTCAGCAGACTCTTTTTTCAAGGATGCCCAACTACTTTTAAAATCATTTGACACTAATGCACGGCTTGACAAAGAATGTGTTATTTTGTATAAATCTGTTTCTGATTGCTTCCACTTGGTTCTCCTAACATTTTGTGTTATGATAAACATGAGGAAATATGTTAAAAAACAAGTTTATTATTGATGTGAATTGTTCATCATGTGTGGGAGCATACTTATATATTACTTGGTCTTCAAGAAAAGCTTTGAAGCTTTATAACTTTGGGAGAAAAAGAAAGAATTACAGAAAGTCCCCACAATCAACATAAACTCTTTTTTTTTAAACTCACAATCCCACCAAAAGGAAAGAAATTCTAGCTTTTCAGCCCAGTTGTGTTTCGCATTGGTGCAGAAGCTACAGAGGCAGCATTCTGCACCTTGAAAGATATTTCAGCTCTTGCACTGAAGAATAGAACAATTTAACAACTGCTTGAAAGCCAGCCCACAGCAGCTTTGGCAGATATATTTATGCATCCTCAGATTTGAAATTACATTGAAACAGCCCCAATAAGCAGTTATTCTACAGATTCTCTATTAATTTAGAATTCCAACAAAACGGGAGCTTCATCTTTACCATAACTTCACACTCAATCATTACCATTTAACACATCATTGTTCTTATACTAGCCCCCGGATATAACAAAGAAACCAAACATTCTTCTGTTGGTGCCTGAATGAGCAGCAACTGCCAATTGAAGATTACAACAGAAAACACCAGATTTCATGATTTATATATAGGCTACTACTGAGGGACATCATGGTGGGAACAAAAGGAGAGTAACATTCCAGACAAAGGTTAGAAACACACCTTCCCATTATAACAAAAAGCTTTGTGAATATATTAATGGCAGAGACATTAAAAAAAATGAAGATCCTATATAGAACCTATAAATTCCTGGCATTTCAATATAGCAAGTTGTTAGCCTGTTTTGAGAGAATGCTTCCATCGATCACTTAAATCTCAGGTGAAGTGATAAAGACTTGAGAGCTGTGTTTTTGATGAAGAGAGGATGTGGTATATGATGTGCTTCTCACGAACAGTGGATTACTAAAATGCAAACCCCATTAGTTTGTATAGGTTTTTAATGAATTTCTGGGTGAATCTGAAGGTGCTAGTTATGATCTGTAGTTAGCTTTGAAAGCTAACTGCTCTAGAAACGAACATTATGTCCCAGACCTGAAAAGCTGTTTCATGCTCTAAGACTATAATGGGGCAATTTATATTTACTCTGTCCTTTGTGCTTTCCTCTCCTGTAACAGACTCCCTGTTGCCCAGGTAAACATAGCTGATACAAAATCCCTACTATTCTTGACAGATAGCACACTGGAATAGTACATTAATATGGAAATAGAAAAAATTCTGTTTCTTTAACACACATTAGAAAGTAATGGAATTGCAAGTACAGCAATCTACGTCATAAGCCATCTTCAACACTAGAACGCAGTCTTACTCGTAGCCTAACGAAGCCTGAATTTGTTGACTTATAGGAAATACTGTGATCTCTTCTGTTTTCCTGAAGTTTTCTTCAAGTAGTTTCAGAAGTAATTTTTCAGAAAGGAAAAAATTTATTGTGAGGGAGGGGTTCAGTAAGGTTCATCTTGCAGACACACAGGAATTTTTTTTTTTTAAATCACACCTAGAACCTTGGGCACACATGCAATGCACAGAAAAAATAAATACAACCACAACGTATCTTAAATAATGAATAAACAATACTTCAGTATAAATACAATATAAATAATAGGTTAAGCTCTCCCATTTATATCTTTATCTTCTAATGAGTTAACCCATTCTAGGTATTTTGATTTGACAGCACAAATTTCTTAGAGCTTATTTCTAAAGACACAATTGATGCTCATCCAAGGACATGAAACATTAAAATTTAAATATGATTTGTGTACTACACAAGCTTGCACAAGCCAAATAAAACGATAATCGTTGGTTTGAGGATCCATTAGTGAGTCATCTAGTCCATTCCCTTGTATCGTGACAGGATTGATTTCATTACCAGCTTTGATGGATGAGTGCCAAGTCTAGCCTTGAATTTTTTATTGAAGGTGATTCCATAACCTTCCCTGGCAGCTTGTTTTATACTTATTGTTCCTAGAACGTTTAGTATTTTAACTCAACATCATCTCTGCAGTTACAGCTTAAACCTTTTACCTGTACCTCTGCTCTTATAGCCAAGTAGGAAAAACTACCTCCTCACATTTTCATAGCATCATTTACAAGTTTGTAGGCAATAGTTATTCCTGTATTTTTTATGTTTCTCTAAAATAAAAGAGCACACTAACTCTGTTCCCTAATCAAATTGACAAATCTTTAAAAAACCTAATAATCTTCTTAATTTCTTAAATCTGTTTAAGGTTTCCAAAATCTTAACTTGAATCTAGGTTTAAGGGAGATCATAGTTTCTGGTAAAACCAGCAAAATTTCCTGATCACGCAAATTTACTACAACACTCAACATTAACAAAAGACAGCATTTCACTTTGTTATTTTCTCATCACATAAGGAATCCAAGATTTAAGAAGTAATTGTTAAGTTTATTATCACAATAACAGAAATGATGCTTTAAACACTAATGGTTGTTTTAATGGCACTCATATACCAGAAATGTAGTGCAAGCTTAAAAAAAAAAAAAAATCACTTTCTAACTAATTAATCTTTAAAATAACTTTAAATATAGGGATTGTGAAAAGAGTGCTTGCATTGGTTGGGAGGCAGGGGGCAAAAATTTTTGGAACTGCACAGAAAGCTAAATGAGTGAATCCTCTAGCAGCAGTTCTTTAATACATAAAGCATTTTGAAGCTAATATTTCTTATGCTTCCTCCTAAGTCTCATAAGGCCTAGATTATGGCTAATATCTCATGACACCAAAAGTAATACTGCAGCAGATATTAAAGCATTTTTTTCAGCTACTTATTCTATAAAATATTAATTGCAACCCTGTGCATGTGCTGTATATATAGGGTATTAGGTAACTGAGTTCCTGCTCAGTTCTAAATCAATAAAAGATAACATGTACAGCATCAATCATTTTTTACTCTTCCTTTACCACCTAACACAAAGAGCACTGAGGCTTATGTTTTTTCTTAAGTAAACAGTCACCGAAATCTTTAAAGTTAAGGATTCACTGGCTAACCTCTACTAGAGATACTTACCTATGAAAGAGAGATTTTTTTCCAAAAGCATTTCTCGCAGCAGGACTTCATGCTCATGACCAATAGCGCTGATAACTTTAGGTTAAGAAATAGGAGATTACTTTGGAAAATAACCAACTTCAGAAAAAACATCATAGGTAAAGTAATTCATTATAATATTTATTGGCATTCCTCTGCATTTCAGAAGTGATCAATAATTTGAACTCTAAGTTCTAATATACCTTACATGGATTTTCAAAAGTGTTTAGCACTTTGTAAAAATCAGACTACTGTATCATCAGCATATATTTTACAAAATTAAGACCATTAGATCATATTTATTCAGTATAAATAATTTTTTCTTTATTCCCTCTTCCTCCGCCCCCCGATTTAAAAGAAAGAGTAAGCTTAAAACATACCATCAAATATCTTTAAAGTTGCTCTCTACTGACTAATGTATCACTTCTCTAATTCAGCAAAGAATGAAATAAACTGTTTATTCTTTGTATTCGGAAATTGATAGGCACTACATCCATTTGAAACATCTTACTGTAACAAAACATCCTTTTAATTGATTTTTCAGAAGCATGAACTAATGTCAGGGAAAGATGAAATAGTATTTTATAGTAAAGTCCTTTTCACTTCACTGACAGCCTGTTGATCCAATGTGCTATTCTTGGCAATATGTAAAAAAGTCACCATTTCAAATATTTTTAATGTATCCTCCTGGAGGTCAAAGTTCTATTCTGGAAGCTTTTAAGAAGAATCTTATGGAACATCATGATAAAGGATCTTACCATTAAACGCTGTTAAGTTCCTAATTCTGTTTAAAATAACTTCTGAAAACTTAAACTATAAATCACTTTACTATTAGAGTTAATGACTTAATTTATATCAACAATTTATGCTGAACAAAAAAAAACCCAATTGTGTGAAATAATTTCATAAATACATACTGTTTTTATCAACTGAAACTACGTATTATGTTAAACTCTATTAGCAACTACAGAACAAAAGGGGCAAATGAAGAACAGCAAAAATGTAAGACAAATACTGCAAACAGTATTTATAATGCACCATAAGCAGAAACACTTAGACCTAGTTTATAATAATACCTGTTATTGATGTATGGCAATGACCATGGGGCAAAACCTGTAAATAACCTCACAAGCCATTTTCTGCTCCTGCAATCTAGCAGCCTAGTTTCCCGTAAGCATCTGAACTATTACTGAAAAATAGCCTCTTGGCATTTACAAAGAGGTTGACTTCATACTTTAGTCCATGCATATACAATTAGATAGTTATATTTAAAATCAATATGCAATCCTTCAGAAGACATTATGCTTTTAAAACCTTAACTTTAAATTGATTTTTAACTATTTTATGCACCTCAAAATTAACATCTAATTCAGCAACATACTTGCAGATAATGCACTTGCACAGCTTAGTATTAAACTTTTCTGTACCAGAATGGAATTGAAAAACTCCTCATTATTCTCACTGATGTCACTGTGTATTCAGTAACTGCATTTGAACCAGAATCTTAAGAGGAGAGAAAAGACCTTTTTGGACTGTAGGTGAACTATTCTTAAAAGCAGTTCATAATTCTACGTATGTGTTGTTATTACTTTTAAATATGACACTTTTAAAATACTAGAACCAGATTGTTCATCAACAAAATATTAACCTTAAAAATCTGGATATGAAAACCGTATAAAAAGTGTAACTTAGAAAATTAATCCACTTTCAGAGACCTGTGATTAATGTTGAAGATAATATCAATGAATACTTAATATTATGTTTTAAACCACAAAATACATATACAATTAGAACCCCATCCTTCTACCATTAAAGGTAAAGGGAGCAGGGCTGAGTCTGTAGTAGACACCAGGCAATTATTTCCAGTGGAAAGGAATATTTTTAAGGGGTGACCACCACATGTATCACAACACAGGAAGTATTGTTTTTCATGCATAACTAAACATCACTCTAGCTTTCCTATCCTGTAACCATACAGTGAAATCAAGATCTTCCCCCAAACTGCATGCAGAGATTACACCAGGATTCTCTAGGGCTTGGGAGGGAATTGCCTTGCTAGCCTGTTCAGTAATAGCAGACCATGATTTTGAAATTGTTCTGTTGATAGCAGGCTGAAACAGAAGAACTACTTATTCCGGACTTTATTAAAACAGATTTGGGGTCACAGCAATCATTCCTAAAAAATGATAATTTTAGTCTGGAATACTCAGCACTGTGTGGAGTTATCCCAGTATTCTTACTGGATACTGAGGAACTCTAATTAACCATTTCAACTCTACAAAAAAAGTTCCCTTAAAACTTAAGCTACATAGGTTTTTTTTTTCTACATCTAGCCTCATTTATTTTAAGAAGAAGAAAAAGTAAAAGAAATGCATTGGAATGTCAGATGATGAGTTTAAAAATACTGATTGGTCAATCACACATGAATTGCACTTGAAAATATTCCAATTAAAACTCATATTAATAAAAAAGCAACACTGTAATGCTGAACACTATCTATGCAACTTACTAATTTAATCACAAGAATAGGTGACATCGGGAGGTACCTCCAGATATCATCTAGTCTAACTCCAATGCTCAAAGCATGGTCAACTAGTCTTAATAGAAAACCAGACATGCATTTCAACTAATCAAAACCAAAAAGGTTCAATCAGGCATACGAACGTGTAGCCACCAAACTGACAACTTCTTGTGGTCCATCTGATTTCTGTTAAACAGTATCAGAGAAAGCTCTGCAGTGACCCTCTAGCTGACTGAATGTAAAACAGAGGAGTATGAAACGTGTTTTGTGAAGCAGAACTTCATGTCAGGTTAAAGCTAGACACATCTCTTCCACACAGTCTAAGCTCGTCAATTGTGCACCTAAAATTTTATGGGAAAGGATACTGTTTGATGCAGTCCACCAGTGGTCCATAACAACAGTCATTCACAGTACACTGCAGACAAATAAGAGAAGTAGTATAGTGATGGGCAACTACAAAACCATTATAGTTAAACAGTATCTTAAAAACAGTAATTACTTTTCTTCAAAAAGGCTATCAGATGCTGTTCAGATTTAATCACAGAAAACAAAAACTGCATGCTTTTATTCACTATAAAAGCAAGCTATTAAAAAGTGAAATGCTCCCCTCACAAATACTGCATTGCCATTTATGGTGCACCCTGACCTCACTGATAGTTTACGATGACAGTAATTAAATGAGGTTTAAAAACTTTTACTCTGCTAGGCAGATAACAGCATTGCCACAGGAAAAAAAAAAAAAAAGACAACTGTGATTAATACCTGATAGACTTGATTTGCTAGAACTCCATCTGGAATCTGAGAAGGGTCCCGTAGCATACTGTTTATAAGAGTTTTGGAGGCTAGAGAAATAAGGAATAAAAACATACAAAAAACCTGTTAGCTCAGTTATTCACTTGGCAGGAAGAGAGACATCCTTTGATAAGGGAAACATCGATGATGCCGATAATTTTGAAAATTATCCAACCAGCAAGTACAAACTTATAAATTTGTGGCTAATTATCCATTCTGACATGATTAACTCTAAAAGTCCTGAAATACAAAAACATTTTATTACTGCAGGGTCAAAGCAGGACCTTGTTTACTTATTCAGTTTCACTGGACAGTTTGTGTTTCAGAAGCATCCTGCAGTTCCTAAGGAAACTGCTCAGTATAAAGAAAATGTAACTCAAAATAACCTCCATATCCTATGAGAACTTAAGGAAGAAGATATGTAAAAATTAAAAACATCCTTTAAAAACATCTTAAGCACTTTATAGATCTGATGATTGCAGTTTAGTAGTTTTCAAATTCATTTATTTACTTACTTAGTGTCAACACATTTATTTGACCATATTTAAAAGCTGGCAAAGGGCTTTCTACGCTATTTTCAAATGTACAAATCTAAGACACAAAAGAAATCAGAAATGAATTTATTACTATTATCAGTCTGTTATTCACTGATATTGATACTACAATGAAAAAAACCCCCATAAACCAGGAGATGCCTTTAGTTTATATTCAAATACAGTCCTGGCAAGCATTGGCATAGTGTTTTCTCTCCAGATGCTTAATCTGGGTAGCTGCATATACCAGTTAATTACTAACAATAGTAGAAAGACTTTATTCTAGAAAAATGCCTTCTAAAATCATCAAACATTTCATTCTACAATTTCACAGTGAAGAAACAACACTGCTGCACAAGCACAAGCTGCCTCCTTCCCTGGAACAACTGCAGATAAAGTTCAGCTGATGGTATATTTATACCATTGAAGCCTTAAGTGTAGGGCAGGCTTGTGACTAGCAAGTTTCTGTGCTTTGCCAAAGATTTCCTGTGTGACTTCAGGCAAATTCCTTTATCCTGTGTGTGTTTCAGTTGTGTAAACACACTGGAAAAGTACTCTTTTCCTGTTCTTACCATAGAATCATAGGATCATTTCGTTTGGAAAAGACCTTTAAGATTTATTCATCTGTTTTGACTCAGGGTCAAAGCTTTGTCACTCTCTCCAGTGACTGAATCAAAAGCCTCAGATGACACTGCAAAGGATTCCTGGAACCTGTGACATCAGGGGATCTTTCACATAAACAGCAATGCTACTGCTATTAATGAATGTGTGTAAACGCTCTGCTGCAAGTAAGAGACCGTCATTTTAATCTCCCCAAATGTTGTCTCCTAAAAGCATCACATTCAGTTTAAAGTATATTTTCAAGAAAATACTTTGTTTAGAAAACTATATCCTAATGCAATGGAATATAAAACCCAAAATGAGTTTAAAGGCTTTGCAAGAGCTCCAAAGGATGGCATCATCACAGACAAGAGCAAAAGTTTGTACAAATGTTTTTAAAGAGAAAGATACAGTAAGCCAAAAAATTAAAATTGTAACAATTTTTTAGTAGGCAGGAATAATACACAAGTAACAGTTTGTCAATACAGAGGTTGATAGGATGGCAGAATAATGAAGAGTATAACTGAGGAAGACTGAGTGGAAGTCACTGTTTCAAATGGCTACTGGTTTAAGTATCAATGACTTGCTAATTATGACTGACCAAAATCCAGCAAAACCTCACAGATTCACATTAGGGAAATGTTTAACTGAACACTACTTTGAGGAATGACCTACAGGTCCAAAATACATTTCTCTATTTCTGAGACTGTCAACTTCAGTTTCTCACTTGAAGTTACCAGACATTCTATTCTTTACCTATATCTGAGTAATAATGAACTGATGTACTGGATTTTATGTTATGCTGATGTCACATTGGTTTTACAAGGTTTTAAATTAAGCCTTTAAAAGAAAAGGCATCAAACAAAACTGACTACTATACCAGCTTCAATATATTATCTTTCCTTTTTATATAAATATCATCTGCTTATGAAATGTCCTGCAAAATTAAAAAAAACCCAAAAATTCCTGCATATTGGTGATTTTGTATTACCTATGCAGCTAAGATAACGTATCTTCAACTGTAATTCTCTTTCAGAAAGCCAGTTACTGAGGTGGCAGCATACCAGCAGGCTGATAGTGTAAAAAACAAAATGGCATGGAAGTGCTAAGGATTTGGTGCGAACACTAGTGCCACTCAGAAAATAAAGTTTATTGAAACACTATTCTTGCATAGATCTCTTCCTTACATAATCAAAAGTAAGATGGCACTGGTGAATATTTAAACAATAGCAGGTCATCTGCTCTTCTGACTCAAGCTGCTATACCAGTTCTAGTTGTGGTCAAACTGAATAATCAGTTTAATATAGTAAAGAAAGGGAGGATGTAACACAGATTTCCTTTAAATTAAGAAATTCTATTTGTATTGCAATTATGCAAACAATAAAATAATAATTTAATCACATTTTTGCAGACTTTA